CGACCCCGCGGGCAGCAGAAGCCACCCCGCTCCGCCACCCCCTGCCGGGCCCTGCGCGCTGCGAGGTGACCTCGAGTCACACGCGAGTGTTTGGCTGTTTGGCTAACGTTGGGCGGAAGTCGTGGTGGGAGACCATAGGGAAGTCGGGGACGGGGGCAGCGGTGGACGGACGAGGCGGGTCAAAGTGCGCCACGGGATCTTTTTCAGAAAGTTGTTTCCGTTTGCTATTTATCGCACGACTAAGCCCACGTCGTGGGATCCAGGAGGGAGGGCTTCATTTCAGTGTGCGTGGTGCGGAGGGAGGCGTAGTGGGTGCGGACCGCATCGAATCACAGCGACAGACTGCAGCGCCGAGGGATGAGGGGCAGCAGCTGCAGCGGCGGGGGCGCGAGGCCCGAGCGGGACCAGGAGCAGGAGCAGGCGAGTATCGGCCAGGAACACGTGCGGCGACTGCGCACCACCCGTGCGATGAGGAGCGCGGGTGGAGGTGGAGGTGGCCAAGAAGTGCTACGGCTGCAACTGCTGACTGTGGCTGCGCATCGCCGGCCGCTTCAGACTCGAAGCAGCGAGGCGTCACCGCCACCGCGCCGCGGGTCTCATTTGCAAGGGAAAACCGCTCGCAAAAACGCCACTTTATCAGCTGAAAACCTGGCCTGTCTGTCTTTCTGCGTGCGTGTGTTTTCCTGTTCTTCCTCTTCTTGCCGTCCGTCTGTTTGCTGCCTTTGCGGCGTCAGCTCGTGTTCTGTCCCTTCATACCCTCCTTATCGCTATCACTATTGCCTTGCTACCTCTTCCGCACCTCCCCCTCCCCCTCCTCGCGATGCGTCTCCCGCTGCAGCCGGCGGGATCAGCTCTATCGTTACGTTATCAGTCATTTAGACTGACACGTCGGTGCGGGGCAGGGTGGGGCAGGGTGGGGCAGGGTGGGGCGCAGCAGCGAATGCAGGAGTGCAATCGCGGGCAGGCCAGGGCGGCGGTGCACGGCTCTGCCTCTTCATTTCCTGCAAAGAAGGAACCTCGTCGGGGAGTTGGGCCAAACAGTAATCTGGGGTCTAAGAGCGTACGGCGAGGACCGGTGGCGCGTAGCGATAAAAGTGCAGTGGGGCTGAAACAACGGGCAGAAATCACGTTGTGAAAACTATGGAAACCCTCCCGACGAACTCGTCGACTTGAGACACGCGCAGCTTGGCAGATTTGCCAGTTTGTAAATAAATAGTTTACAAGCACTCTTATACGCTCACGGTCTCAATCCTCACAATCCCACGGTGGTGACTAATTTTGTGGGGTAAACTATCAACGTATTTGTTCAATAATAATGTTTAAACAATGTATTGTGTTGCCTACGCACTGGCTGCAGCTGCAGGGGCTGAAGGCGAGGGGTGGGTTGTGGGTGGTGGTATACCCCCCCCCCCCCCCCCCCCCGCCTCGCCAGCACGTTCAGCTCACATGCGCTGCAATTAGCGGCCGAGTTGGGAGCGCTCAGCGCCGCTCTGCGCGGTGC